TTGATCATTACTTAGAATTCAATTAAGATATTGTATGAAAATAGAATTCCTTGTATTCTTATTTGATTGGATAATGTAAGGAAGGATTCTTGATTGGGGAGAAGTCAAAGAAAAATCAGAATTTCTTTCTTTTATCTGCTTTTTTCTTTTAAAAAATCCCTCAGAAAAACAACTCAATCCAATCTGATAATTTCTTATCATTTCAATTTCATTTTAATCTTTAAGAACAAGAAAAGAATATTTGTTATGTTTAATATCTTTAGTTTAATCTGTATCTGTCTTAATTCTACCCTTTATTCGAGTAGTTTTTTCTTCGCCAAATTGCCCGAGGCTTATGCCTTTTTCAATCCAATCGTAGACGTTATGCCGATTATCCCTTTACTCTTTTTTCTCTTAGCCTTTGTTTGGCAAGCTGCTGTAAGTTTTCGATAAAAAGAAAATCTCAATTCAATTCAGAATTTCTTCGATAAAAAAAAGATGAGATTTTTCTTCTTCAAATAAATAAGATAAGAAATAAGATTCAGATAAGTCTGGAAATTAGGAACCCTCGATTCAAAAAGCGAAATTCTGATATTTTCTATTGTATATTATATTGAAATTGAATAAGGGTGAATAAGGGAAGGGGGCGATGATCTTTAATCAGCTAATAAACTTCTTTCTTCTTTTGTTCTGACCTTTCCTTTATAAGATTCCATAAAATCTTTAATTATAGATATAGATATGGATATGGCAAGAAATCTTTGGTAATGAAAAAATACGAATCTTATTACATTAGAATATTACATTAGAAAGAAATTCGTAAAAATAAATTGAAAAAAAAACTTCCTTCTTTTTTCATCTTTAGAGCGTCATATCAAAATAGTGTATAGTGTATAGTGTGTGTCGTAAAATAGGCGATCTATTTCCTTAAAAAAAAAGATCTTATCTTGGAGATTTGTAATGCTTACTCTTAAACTATTCGTTTACACAGTAGTAATATTCTTTGTTTCTCTCTTCATCTTCGGATTCTTATCTAATGATCCGGGGCGTAATCCTGGGCGTGAAGAATAAAAAAAGAGATGAGATTCGTTTTTACTTTTTTTTTCATAGGTATTTCATAGGTAAATGTAGAAATAAATGGAATAGATGCTAGATAAAGAGAAAAGATTCATAAAAGAAAATAATCGAAAATTCTTCTGATTCTAAAATCTCAAGTTATCAGGGGGGTCGGAGAGAGAGGGATTCGAACCCTCGGTACGAATAATTCGTACAACGGATTAGCAATCCGACGCTTTAGTCCACTCAGCCATCTCTCCCCATTCCAAATTGGAAATCTCTCATGTGATTTCACACGTGAAGTGAAGATTGAGAACCATTTTTATTTTCTTCGAAACAGATTTCTCCAATAGAAAGAATACCTTACTTCTTTGATTTTGTACAAAAGGTTCATTTCCCCGGCCTGGTTAAGTATAAGTACTGGCCGGGCCTGTACTTCTTTATTCTTAGAAATTAGATAAGATTCTAATAGATAGATTATCTTAGAAATTCTTTAAGAAATTCTCTATATCTAGATTAATATAGAATATTCTATATATTCTATAATTCTATCTTAATATGAATATGATATATTCTATATTGAAATATGAAATTGAAATCTAAAATGTTAGAGATTCTATATCTATTCTTAGTATCTTCTAAGTAATTCTAGTAAATTAGAGTCTAAATTAGAATATTTAGTCTTTATAGTAAAAGTGTTCTGTTCTAGTAATATCTAGTAATAGTATTAGAGTATAATAGTAATGTAATATAGTACTAATATTTTTCATATTTTTCGTCTTTCTTTTCTTATTCTTAAGTATAAGATTCAGAAATTCATTAATGAAAAACGAATTTCATTATAAATGAAAGTTGAAGTTCAGTATTATATTCATCTGAATAATTCTAATTCACTTAAGAAATCTTAATAAGAAGGAAGTATTAAGAAAGAAAAGAAATAGATCTTAGAAATCTTATAAGAGAAAGAATCTCAAATAGAAAACACATATTTCTAAGATTTTAAATCTTTTACTTGTTCAAAGCAAAGGACAAGCTTGAAAGTTTGAGGCCCAATTTACCCGAATTCATAAAATCTGGCGGTTCAAGTGAAGGGAAGTTTCAAAAAAAAGAATACTTAAAACTTTAGTACACTATTTAAATTATTTAAATTTGACTAAACTTTTTGCTATTCACCTATTCTTTTTTTTTTTCAATCCCGCGCCGCAGCAGAACAAAATACGTGTTAATGCTGGAATTTTCATGATTCTGATGCTATCTTGACTACGTCTGATTACTTTGTTGGACAAATAGTCCATTCATATCCAATAATGAATATGTAGCGGGTATAGTTTAGTGGTAAAAGTGTGATTCGTTCTATTAACAACTTAAATAGTTAAGGGGTCTTTCCGTTTTTTTCATATTCCGATCAAAAACTTTATTTCTTAAAAAGATTTAATCCTTTCCCCCTCAATAGGACATTTGAGGA